GTATAAGATTATAACATGATATAAAACTCAAAAAAGTTGATTTTACATGATATTGCCCCTTTAATTTTAGTTTTAATTAAATAAAAATTAGAAACCAAGTTATTTTTCCACAAAAAAGCAAAAGGGGATTATGTTTCTGCTTGTGTTYATTACCAACATTTCTCAAACATCTTTCTAGTAGTTGTATTTTACTGAAACTTATCACTGYGTGCCCATACTGTATATCTGAATAACTTTTGGAGTTCGCTCCATTCAAGATGGCTGCTGCAGCTAACCAGTCTTGGCAAACACAAAAATGGTTAACTCGAGCTAAAAATTGGCAGCRGCTGAGTCGTTCCCAAYRCATTGTCTGAGCAAGGTTCRGAAACCTGARCCAGGATGTGGATTTTTCTGCAGCTCTGTTTTACACGGCACTCGTTTTCCTCAATATTTCTGCCTTTGGTACTCGCAGGGGGAGAGAGAGGTAACTTTAGAGAAGACGTAATCCTGTTTGACATAATGGCTGCACTGTATCGCTCCGTCTGAGGCCACCCACTTGGAGGGCAGAGGAAACTGCAGGGAGTCTCATTACAGAGAATTTCTTACATCTAATGTGCTCCTCTCTAAAACCATTACTTTATTCAATAACCGCTGCAGTTACAGCTGTGGATTCATGTCGGCTGCAGGTTTTATTTACACACACCTTTAAAAACAAACAATCAAATCATATGTTTCATGTTGAATTTAATACAATCCAAAACCAACACAAACTCACAAAACGCTGCTTCTGTCCCAAAGAAAACAACCAAACAGTGCACTAATGTAACCAGAAAAATAAAGTTCTGTATAAACACAACTTAAACAGTAAGGAAGGTACAACCACATGACAAATTAAGCTTGATTTAACTTGAAAATTGTGCTTATAAATAAATTAGTAACAGTGAACGCATCGTAGAGATTAACACAAAAACAACTTTCTTTTACAGATCGTTCCCACACAGGATGCAGACGACTAACAATCCTCACTTAACTTTGTTCAACTGCCTCATTTATTTGTCTCAAAATATTTCCAGTTTTTCAACAAAAGCTGTGTGCGTTCTGTGTGGACCTTTGATTTAGTCAGATAAACACTGAACTCTGCCTGACTTTATGCAAATAAATTGTCCACAAACTGTAGCAAAAATGTTCTCCTTTAAACTGTAAACGAGTAAGAAGTGTGAGAGCAGTGAGGATTGTCTTGAGCCGACGTGTCGAAGCTTTTATCACAGATATAAAAACCTGTGTTTGGATGTCGTCTAAGAGGAATGTTTCTGCTGAGCTGAGCTCGGTTTCACCAAGTTTCCACACTTCAGGCAGCAGGAGTTGGAGTTTCCTTCTTTCCGAGGAATATGCCAGCAAAACACACAGTGGACTCTGTACTTCTTATACCTTAAAACGTTGGGACAGAAGAATAAACGTGATTAAAACTTTACAGAAGGATGACACCTTTAAAAACTAATTCAAGCATAAAAAGTATTTAGGATTTAGGATGCAGGTCCAACTTATTCTACGTTAGAAGAAATTATGTTTACTTCTGCAACACAAGTTAAAAGGAAAAATAAGTCTGTGGAGTATTTTATATATCTGCAGCTTTATTCCATATTATCTGTGGCTGAATATTCTGCATTATTATACACYAACTCAAATTGCAAGAAACTAAACTATTTGAGATCAATCTGGGATGTTTAAATAGGTTTCCACTAAGTGCGCATTTGCTAATAACATTTTCTGACAAATCAATCCTACATTTGCCTCAGTGATGTCAGATCACTAACGCTCAGCTTCATCCAGATGTGTTTCTGTTCTCTACCTGATTCCACAGGCGTTACAGAGTGGAGTACCATCCTCTGCGTCTCTCCACATGGGGGTCTTCCTGGTGCAGCACGACGCACAGACTTTGTTTTCTTGTAAAACAGAATGAATGTAAACAGTTTATTATTATTCTAACACGACGCTAAGTAATGCGTTATTTTTGTTTCATATCTTTATAAGAAGTTCTGGTTTTGCTTTGTCACTAATTTAGTGACATAACATTTGGATTTTATGCATTTGATTCATAAGAATGAATCCTTGTTTTTGTTTCTTTTTATTATCCTGAATTATTGAATTGGAATTTGAGTTCATGTTAAAACGGATCATTTTGGGTAAAAATAAAATAAAATCAAAAATTTAATTTGCTGGAAAAATATTGAGGCAACATTTTTTGATTAAGACAAAAGTGTTTCGTATCTAAATGACAAAAACAGGCATTTAATGACAGTAAAAAAAACATTTAGTAGTGTTTAGACAAAGAAATTTTCCGATTGCTGTGAATAATATCATAGTTCCATTATAATACTCAATTTTCAAAATTTTCAGTTTAAATAGCTGCTTTTTATTCATTTAGACTGAATTTATTATCTCTCTCCTCAAGCATGACACCATCTGCAAGAAAGAAAAGCTCCTGCTTCCTAAATACAAGAATTTACTGTTTTTTCTGAATGGGAACAGTTTGAGTTTTACTAGCTTCTATAGAAATCCATTTCTGTAGCTCTGTATAGTATCTATCCTGCAGTCATGTTTTCAACTACTTCTCTAAAACTGAACTTTTGTTTGTTTAGTCCTAACAGGACGTCTCTTGTAAATGGTGCCACTATTCTATTTTATGATCATTTAACCAGTTTCCACAGAACAAGAAGAAGTGGTGTGGTGGCGCCATCTACTAGAGAAAATTAGCATTTTAGACAACACATTAAACATTTCCTCAACTTCTGATTCTTTTCATGTGAACTAAGCAATCACATTTATATTCTTACCATGTATTTAAGTTTTGAATGTATTTTACTTATTGTTTCTTTCTTGTTTTACTTTTAAATGTATTGTATGCTTAGTGTCATGATATATTCTGAATCATTTCAACTGATGTTGTAACCTTCCGGTAAAGCCCCTTTAAAGTGTCATTTCTTGTTGTTCACACACACACACCTGGATTGCAGAACTATTTGTTTTGTTTTTATTGGAATGTGAACATGTAAGAGACGATGAAATAGGAAGTATAACCACATTCTAAGGTGTTTTCCTCTGTTTAAGGACCACAGAACAAGTTTTAACTGAAACCAGAAATTTTTGCTGCTCAGATAAAGAACCACTCCTTGCATGTCAGAAATAACCAGTTTTGGGACTGGTTTCTACTAAAAGGTTTAAAGATGCTTCACTGGGGCTGTGTCTCCAGACTCAACTTGTATTGCTGTATGCACGTTGACTCTCAGTTTATTGCAATAAAATTACCCAGAGACCGTTGTAGTGACGAACTTTTTTGATCACGTATTTCTGCACTTTGTTTAACTTTTCTTCAGTTCCTTTGATACTTTGTTTGATTTCTGATTCTAGAGCCAGGATCTCTATCACAGCATTTGCGAACGAGTCAAWAAAACATCTCAAAGCATCGTTTTAGTTTATGCGAGTTGCAAAGTTTTAGTTGTTGCAATTTTCAACCCATCGTTGGTCGCAAACACTTAGAATTTAGTGAAACTGCAACAGTAAATCCTCTCTCAATTTTAGCCACCGTTTAGTCTTCATCGGCTTAGCGAGATATTCTAAATTACTACTCATAAATCATGTCAGGTGTTACGTACTTGCAACGTTAGCTGTGAGGTCATTTTCTTCATCTGAGCTGCTGGTTTTAAGCGTTTTCTGTGATGTTCGCGCCCTCAGCTTTGGTTTTCGCACAGCTTTGCAGTGCTTCTTGCTGTGACGGGAACAAGCAACGTCATGTACATTTGTACCAAATCTGACATGTTAAAATTCTGAATAAAATAAAAAAAAACACCTGTATTTTGAAGTTATGAGGAGTCGACACTGCTCCCTTGTGTCGTCGAGCTCTGCGTCGATCCGGAACGTCACTCCCTGGAAGTCTGGGTCTTGGATATCGGCGCTGCGAGACGGGTGAGGTTGTTTCCTCCGAGTCTTAGTTCGATGCTGAGGAGGGGGATCGGATTCCTTCGTTTGCTCYGTCCACAGCTCTGCTGGTGATGCCGTCACACAAATGTTGCCGCTTGAGCGGTCTGCTGCGGGGTTTGAACCCACAGTGGGAGTTTGACGCCGATTGGGTGCAGATGCTGCGAATTTCTCATTTTGTCCTGATGACGACCGGCAGCTCTCTGCTGTGGTGAATACGAGAGGTGCTGCTTGTGAGGAAGGCAGAGCTGCACTCTGAGGAGGTGGCTGGGTGTCACATGGCAGCTTTGTAGACAAAGTGATGTTTGCATTGTGGTCAAGTGTTTGTGGTGGTTTCGACTGGCCCGCGCATGCACTATAACCTGAACTAAGAGTCATCTCGGCCTTTAGACATGTGGAGCTTTGGGTTTCCTTTTTGGGGATAAATGCATTTTTTTTAGTAGAGAAACACTCCTGGTCCAATTGTTTGCTAATGCTGAACTCTTCTCCGTCTCTGCATAAAGTTTGCAAAGACACAATGGAGCCGTCTTCCTGCATCTCTGAGGTAACGGGGTCAGTTTGCTCTGCAGGCTGTTGGTGCACACAGCAGCTTTCACCAGCATCTTTCACACAGAACTGCAGCTGCTGACTGTCCAGTCTCAAATCCACAGGAGAAACAAATGTGATTTTCTCCGAAGCGCAATCAAGGCTGTCCCCATCACTTTCCCTCTCTGTTCCATACGGAGGTGCAGGTGCTGACGTTGATTGGATGGATTTTGTTGAAGACAGTTCTAAAGTTGAGTTTTCCTCCTCAGCATCTTTTTGATGGAGGAGTCGCTCACAGGTCAGGTTGATCAGGCTCAGAACTTTCCAGGGGCTGCTGCATTCACAGCGTGGCTCATCCGACTCGGAGACATCACCGGTCTCCTCGCTCACGCTCTTCACCCGATTGCATGACAACATACACGACAAACTGTACTTACGAGCGCCTCGAGCACCTTTAAGGGAGCACTCATCTTCGTCTTCTGTTCCATGACTAAAACGTCTCTTTCTCGACATCTCATTCAGCCACTCGGAGGGAGAATTTGCGTCCAGGAAACTCGCGGGGACAGGTGGGTCAAGCTTGGAGACTTCCTCGAACAGGTAGAAGAGTGCAGAATGTTCGGCTTTGCTCTGGTTTTCCTGGATGAAAGTAACTTCTTTCGTCGTTCCAGTGGTCATGCTGAGGTGGTTTCTGCATTTTTAATCAAAACAGACAAAAAAATTATAAAATTATAAATAAATTATATGTATTATAAAAGCTTAAAGGAGGACATGAAAATATATCATAGTTGATATAATTGCTTGTACAAATAAAAGCAATAGCAGCTAATAAGCTAGTGTTTATTTTTGGCTTTTGTTTCCATCATTAAACACAGGATAACACCAAACATTTATAAATAAACGGAGTTTGGGAATACTGTAAAGTTTAATTCATTCTATGCGATATAATTTGAACCTAAAAGGCAAAATATAAAGAAATAAATCGAGATAAAACCGTTGCTTTTAATAAAAGCGGCTTGTTTCAACTCACCTGACGCAAACAAACTAGCTCGAGCTCAAACTTTGAAGGTTCTCGAGATTCTTTGAACTCTGATCGCGCGCGTTAGCTTCATTTTTCATATAAGCTTTTCAGCCCCTCTTTCACTCGCAAGTAACAAAAACACAGGAAATATAAAGTGAACCTAAAACTAAATAACATTATGTCTCAGGCTTGTTTGGCTCTTTGAGCATGTTGTTGTCACACATTAGGCCTAGACTAAAAACTCACCTAAAAACCTGGATATCTTTGGCTAACTGAGAACTCGTCTAGAACTCCACAGCCTAACATAGACGTGTTTCTAATAGCGTCGATGCTCACCTTGCACGTTCAAACCTACCAGGGACCGATGGGGACGGCTGCCATGAGGGAACCGGGGAGTGGACAGAGTTTTGAGCCTGCACAGGTGTTTTTAATTCGTCTTGATTAGAGGATATAAAAGCGCWTCTCAGGCCTCTAGTTTTCTTTCAAATGTGCTTCGATAAAATCATCTAGTTTTGGAGTTACAGCTCAGCAGGACCAGTATGGAAGCTTCTTTCTGACAATAAAATAAATAAAAACGTTAATTGTGACAAATTCACAACTGAGATACAAATTTATAGACTTTTTTTAAACTCATACTTCTGATAAAACTCAATAACCTCATAATAACCAATTTGAAACTAAATTGTAAGTTTCAAAATTGCAATTATGATATATTTACACACACACAGAAATCATATTATCATAAAAGCTATTAAGTATCAACTTTACCATTTTATTACACTGTCGTTTGTTGTTAGTCTTAACTTTGGCTGTCATGAGACCAATAATTCATTAATATTTTCCCTTACCTCAAGTAAAGTGGAACATGTTAGACTAGTTATAAAGATGTCATTAAGCGTCATTACACTGACAAATGTTTTTTTTTTTTTGTCTTGGTTAATGTCAAGTTGTCATAAAGACATTTTGAACAATGTCAACTTTGCAGTAAAAGTGTCATAATTTACCGAATGACAACAGTCAAACATTCATGAGGACTCATTTGAGTTCATGACAGGTGTTATGTCATATTTATGACAACATTATAATAGTCTTATGCACACACCTACAAACAGTTACCAAAAAATAAACGCATTCCTCAAAATTACAAAGTTAAACCACATTTTATTGCACCACTTTCAACATTTGCCACTGAGAGACTTTGTGCGCATGTTGGACAAGTACAGCAGACTTGAGTCAGAGGAAGTTGTGGAGAACATATTCTGTGGTAACAAAAAAAAAAAACAAAAAAACACTGACGGCTTCCAACTCTAGATTCCAGGTCACATAATGAAGCCTCGATCAGTGTCAGGAAGAAATTCCTTCAAAACTCCGCCTTCAGTTCAAACCCTGTGTACTTGAATGTTTTGAAATGTGTGTGAAATGTAATAAAATGAGTCTAGTTTRCTGCAAATAGCCCACATGCATCAGTCACTTTATGATAAATGTGTTTTTTGACCTGTCAGACTTTGGAGCCAAACAAAACTATGAAATTGGCATCAAATATTACAACATCTATAAACATTATACATAAAAATAAATGATACGCTAAGTCAAACATGAGACGTGGTTAAAGACAAGAATAGACTGGTCAAAATGATTGCCATCTTGTGATGCTTGTGCGCGTAGAAGTAGTAACGAGGAATGTTTCCTTCACCCAGACAGGCTCTGTTCCTCAGTGAGCTGCCAGATGTTTGAGCAGTGAGTGACRGCCTACAGAGCCTGAGAACACCTCATAAAAATAAATACATTATCGGCTAAACCATGGCAGTTCTGCATGGAACCATCGTGAGACTCTTGTAGCGTTCGGCTCTGCCTGGTCTCCTCTGCAGCTCTGTCCTGACCCTGGTTAAACTGGAAAGTGTCAGTAAAACATCTTGGGAGAAGCTACAGACAATACTGTCCTAGCTGTTAATCCTCTCAACCAGCCGTGTCTCATTTTTTTTWTTCGATTTCCCCTCCTCATCCATCTGTAGCTCATCTCAGTGAGCTTTAGGAACATGGCCGTCCACGTAGAAGTTCCTGGTGACTTTGGGCAGGGTGAGCTCAATGCCGTCGAGCTCCCGAGTGAGAATGATCTGACATCCCAGGCGGGAGTTCTCCTGAAGCATGGGCGCCATGTCGAGCATGTCGTCCTCCCTGAGAACCGAGATAGTCGGTCAACATTCACCGCGATTTCCACCCGTACATGTCAGCAGCACACTTACCGCTCGTCAGGCTCTGGCAACTTGTCAAAATGAGCGGCGCTCACATAGACGTGGCACGTGGAGCAGGCCAGCGATGCCTCACAGGCTCCTATAAACAACAAAWACCCATGCATGTTATGCAAATATTTTAATAATATTTCTGTTTAACTACTTTAACCCTCACCTTCCAAGTCAATTCCATGTTTATGAGCTAGAAGCAGCACATTGTCTCCTACTTTGCCCTTAACTGGGATCCTCTGGCCGGATCGATCTATAAACACCACGTTGACTCTAGAATGCAGTAAAAAACAACCTGTTTGTATTTTACATTTAGAACAGAAAAAGAGAAAGTAGATTTATGCTTGTTTTTATACGCTTTAGTGCAGGACATTGTAGGATGTTACAAAAAAAAATTAAAAAGAAATTTGTTGTCAAAACACACATGATCAAGCTTGTTTATTTTAAATAAAAACTGTCCTAAAAATAATGCATGAAGCACATTGTGTAAGTTTAGTGCCACGAACTTTACACTTTACATTTAAAGTCCCTCAGTGACGTGGATTTCGCAGTTTACAATCAGTGTTTGATTACTTTCTATCAGCTTCGCATCCCTTCACAATAAAAGCCCGTGTTGTCTTACACATCATCTGGCTCCTTTGTGTTAGAACTGCCCTCCTCGTCCTGGTAAAGACCTTTGAAAAGTGAGAAAAGTCAGAAAGGTGATTGTTTAATATCGGGGAACTCACGAAGGGGAATGCACAACTCACTGTTGCACACTCTTCAGAAGTTTCATAACTTCTTAAGGTTACATAAATATTATTAAATAACGTTCTAGATAATATATTAACTACAAATCAATGGTGGGCATCAAGAACTCGAATTTAAATAATAATAAGTAATACTGATAGCTATATAGTACTTATACAGAACAAAACAGTTTAACAGAGCGCATGAACCACTATGCTAAAAGAGTTAGCAAGCAGCATCTCTCACATCTACTCGTCTGTAAATGTCGATTTATCGTCCGAAAACTATCGAACGACTCTCTCCTTTGGATGTTAGCTCTGTTGTTGATGCAGCTCTTTAGTCTGTACAGCGGACATGTGTTACAGTGCGGGATAACACGATTAAACCTCAAAGTCAGCACCATGCTCGCCCGGACTGCAGCGGACGCCGCCATGATTGTTTTGATCACGTGACCAGGACGACTCCCCCTAYCCATCCGGTCATATGCTTCTCTGCCAGCAGAGGGCGCTCGTGAATTACCATAAATAAACAATTGAACTGCGCATGCGTACAATAGTTCATTGTTTTGATCCTTTATACCGGCGTTTTTGTTGACTTTTAGATACAGACGTATTCACAAATTAGTTTTATTTGTGTTTTAGGTTGTGATGGCGAAATGTCCTCAACATGTAACGTGACCGGATGTCGGAATGACCGCAGAGCTCAGCTGAAACGCAGGTAAATAAAACACTCAAGACTAAATCCACGTTTTGCCTCAACTACTTAATTTATAATTTGTCATGTTTATCCATATCCTAAATCCTAATCTTCACAGAATGAATGGGACAAGCTGAAAGGAAATTACGAGTACTGAACAGTTCTGTCTAAACTTTGCATAAGATGCGCACATGATAATTAATTAGGGTACAGTTAGTATTGATTCCAGAATATTTATTATTGATTTGTCTTGTTTTTTTTTTTTTTTTTCAGGCAAATTGAGATGCCACACATCTGGAAGCTTAGGTTCCTCAAATCCAGACATGATGACATTAAAGCCAGTCGTCTTTAACAGTAATAGAGGAGATAAGGCATACAGGGTTTCCAATGGTACAAGGGTCTGTAGTAATCATTTCAGGTAAGTTGATTTTGAAATAGTGGAGCCACAATTTATAAGGTGGAATATAAGAAGGAGGAAGTGGGTTATAAGGAAGAAAGGGCTGGAGGGGAGGGGAAAGCTGAAAAGCATACTGTTAGTGCAGTAGGTGTGTGTTAGATAATCACATTTTATGTATGCATCTGTAAATTACAGTGCTGACTGTCAGTAGAACAATATTTTAATTACTAAGATAATGCATAATCTAGAGCAGGATGTGGCCTGCTGGCTACCAGCTGAATAGCCCTGATCTGGAGAATAGACACTATAACTGATCCAACAGTATAGTTTCTCAGTATATCTACTAAATGTCACCAAAMATTAATTTATCTTCTTACACAGGAAAGGCGAGTATAATAAAGGAGACGTGTCTTGCCTGTATCTGYGGGGATATCCTGAGTGGGCCTCATCAAGAGAGGATCTTCGGAAAAAAAAAGCAGCGAGTCTGGATGCTGCTATTGTTCATGAGGTGACGGCTCACGCTTTCCAGTACGTTCTTCACTCTGAGGCTACTGTGCAAGAACTGCTACATAAGCTCCAAAAGAAGCATAATGAGTCTGGAAAGCATTTTGAAACAGATGCAGCTTTTTAAAATGCTGATCCTGATGTGGTGTGCGATCTGTTGTGTGACACTCTGCATCTATTCACATCGACTGCCAAATTACAGGAAGCTATTGCGATRTACAAACATGGTGTTTTGATCAAAAATGCATCAATCATCAAGAAAACTAGGAAACAAAGTGTGCCTGCAACTCATGGCTGTGATACGAGTATAGAACAGCAAGTAGAGGACATGGTGATTTCATACAGTATATCAGATTGTCATAACTATTGTTCAGTTCCTTATGTTCATCCACCATCCAGTGACAAAGGAGGCATGTCAAAATTGAAGTTAAAGTTATGCACAAAGAAAATGGGTTTAACTAAGAAAAAATTGTTGAAATGGTCCGCCAGCGTACTCAAAGCAAAAGTGATAGGGATCCTCAAGGAGAGTAAAGAATTGAAAAAGAAAAATAAATATTTGGCAGCAAATGTGACATATTTAGAGACTGAACTGAAACACAATAGGAATATAAATAGAAGGGTATAATTCTCTTGSTGACTGCTACATGTTAGTTGTGCAGCTTGTGAAAGGAATAGAATCTAATGGCAAATTTAGACCAGGAGGTTTGTATTAAAATATACAGTATATTTTTGAAATCAGAACTATATTGGTAGTATATTTCTCAGCCTCTAGAGGGCACCCATGCACTAGCTAACCCACTCTAAAGAAAATTAACTTTTAACATACTTAAAAAAAATCAAACCTGCATACATATAGCTATCTATTTTACTGTTTTGGTGGGGTGTATAGAGGGGTATGCTGTGAGTTTTTTTTAGCATGATCTTTAGCGTATGAGCTGACCTGCTTAAAGGAGCGAATATGAAAAATATTGCAAAAAACCTTTGGAAAGAAATTTTTATTTTAGTAAATGTTAGAGAAACTGTACACAGACTGTATGATGTCACAATTTTAATGTCAGTGGATCGTTTTCAGTGTCATACATGTTACAAATCCAAAGAGTAAAAAAAGTGCACATTCTCTGGTGGCTCAGTTTTTGTTGCACACAAACATATGAATATGTACAGAGATGGGTTCACTGGATACTGGTAGGGAAACACTGGTTATTTCATTTRTGATGTAGTTTTCCCTGTTGCAATGCTTGGCAAACACAACTGAAATGAATGCGGAGTTTCTTTATATCTAGATATACATAGTTTTTTTGTATCTGACGATATAAACACAATAAGATCCTGCTTGCCATTTMTGTAAAGCCCTTGTGCCCACAGCATTATACCCGACATACCGTGGAAATGATCAAGAAGAGAAGTGCAGCAACATGCTTGCACATCCCACTAATCCTGTGAAAACAACCAATATAGGAAATGCCATTCAAAGTCTAAAGTGAYTACTCCTGCCAATATATCACATGGTTGAGTAACTCAGGACTGACATTCTGAAAGATGCAGAGACTTTGGCTGTAAGTGTTATTTATGTTGCATGTTATGTAACTTCCCATTATAACTTGCAGCTACTGTTTTGTTAAATAGCTTGCTATTCTAYACAACAAAGAGCAACAGTATCGTTCTAAATGATAATTATAAAATGCATACGTTCACAGTATGCATGCTCAAATATTTAGTTTATTTGCAAATACACTTTCATTAGATTTGAATCAGCTTGTATTTTATGTTGAAATYAAAACACCTAAAGCAGTTTGGAAATGGGCGCAACACTTTCCTTTGTAATGTATTTAGCTCTGACGTGTCCAAACCTGTTTATTATTAATATGAAGCTTGTTTGTGCCCACAAATTATCTTTTTCTATTCATTCATCCATTCTGTACATCCACTTATCCTTTATTTTTGTATGTGTACCATTACCTCACAGCTCAACAGTTTAATAGCAGTTTCTACTTGACAGAGACTTGATGTGTGAAAACTTGAACCACTGAATTTAAAGCAGTTGTTTGACAGMTGACATTGTCCATCTGTGGTTTAAATTTTCTTTTTATATTATTTTTAATCGTTTCATCTGAGCTGTTAGAAAACAAAAGAGGTTACTGTTGCTGAACCTAAAATAGCTGTCATGAGACCACTTCTAAGTAAAAGCAGTATAAAAAATCACGTCTTTTCCTAWCTGACCATGTCACCATGGTACAGAAACTAAACAGGTTAAAGTTGTTAATGGCCTGTTGTGAATACTGATTCTAAARTAATTATTTGTCTTTGTTCTGCTTAATCTCAGTTCTGCTTTCAGTAGCTGCTGTTAATCATGATTTCTTGTTGGACAGGTTAGAAAACTGGGCTGACTTCTCTGGTCCAGTTCTTCACTGCTTTCAAATACATATTATAGATAAACAGCTCCATGTGTTTGTTGGCAAGTTCAACTCTGTGTGCTGTTTGCGGCGTACCTCAAGGTTCATTACTTGGTCCAGATTCTCGTTGTACGTCATTCACAAACATAATGAGAATTGTCATGCAGATGATTTAGTTTGTACATTCCCTCATCTTCTGATGATACAGATACTCTAAACTCACTTATAC